CAACCTTATGAGTAGTGCATATATCTCTTGGACTTGTTTGGGGGCGAGATGGACCAAGTGGTTAGAGCGCGAATTTACTGACCGGAAGGTCCGTGGTTCGAACCCGACTTCTCCCTCTCGACTCCTCTGTCTAGGCTTGGGCAACCTGGCAGTATCCCAGCCCTCGTGCTTCCTTCGGGTGGCATGGCAGCTAGGCCCTGAAAGGGTGCTAAAGCTGAACGATTTTTTTGGACTTGTTTATCGACCTCCTCCCGTATGTGGAGCGGCAGCGGACGGGGACCGTAAGGTCGAAATCATTCGGACAAGAGGGGAATTTCTTGTTGAATCTCTGGGAAGAAGCCAACCGGATCTTCATCGCCTGTGAAAGGCTCGAAATATTCTTCGACCACGGACTGTACTGACGGCACATTACAAGACGGAAGCTTTTGCACATGTAGCTTGCTCACGGCAGTGCTTGTATAACCTTCAAGCTTGACTGTGCCATACCTTATCACCAGTTTCCCTGATTTAGGCCAACCACGGAATCTGTGCTCTTGAAAAAATCTGCCCCCGAGATTTTCTGCTCTATGTCTGGGGTGACCAGGAACTGCTGCTGCACAGACCCGTCACCTAGACGCATTGACAGTTCATCAAGTTTCAGTCGGTATCCACCCACTGCTTTCAGGGCCAGTGCGCATGGTTTGCATTCAGCTTCGTTCCCTGTCCTCCTTGGTGATACCCTTGCTTTTGTATCAGTCACTTACAGCTTCCTCTTCCCGTCTATCTCGATAACGGCCTGTATGGTAGCCTGCGCTAATCGTGACCCACCGAGAAAAGAGGAGAGTAATCCAAAGTTTTATTATGTACAGGTGGTCGGGTACGAGGACATGGTTCTTCCAGTGGTCAGGCATGCCGTGTTTGTAGCATCGGCTCGTTCGAGCGTGCCTCCGCGATTCCGTCTTGACGGCTGCAAGCTGTTTGATTGGCTGATCCACTTTGGTCTGCAGTTCCTCCACTGGTGAACCATCCTTGTTCTCCTGCGACTGCAACGTGGCCAGTGGTGCCTCGGCCAGCTACCGTGTTAGATGCACCAGGTGCTCCACACTTAACTGGCCAGTTGCTCTCGCTAACCGCAGCAAGGCACGAAGCGCAGACTGCACACCTTTGACGAACTGGTCAGACAGCAACTGCTGGCACAACACTCTGTTCAGTCCCGGCAAAGCCCAATCCAACGACTGCTGCAGGCTGGCGAAGAACACGGTCGGGTCACATCCATATGTCATCCTGGCCGTCTTGAACCGCCTCATGGCCTCCTGGCGGTTGGCCGCTGCACGAGGTTCTTCCACGACGACCCAGTCCATTTCCCGGGTGGCCCTTCTGGCCGCACCTAGGGCCATCTTCGTCCGACCTCTGAGGAGGGTCTTTAACACTGCCAACTTACCCCGGTCTGTCTTCAGTCCAGTAGCCCCCGCAACGTCCTCGAAGTCCTCCAGGAAGATCCACAGATCCCCATCCTCAAAGGGTTGTAGCCACGGTGTCTTCATCCTTATCCTGGTCACGGCACCAAATGAACGGGGGAAAGGCATTCGATGCGGAGTTATCATTTAGGAAACATCAACTAAACAGTTACAGATTTTGGGACAGGAAATTAAAACTCTAATATGCACCTTGCTTTTAAAAAACCGAATTTCCGTCTTCTTCCTGTACGCGTCCTCTTGAACTCTCCTGGGTATTCATTGACTATCACGCAATTGCAAACGAGTGCTGCAAAAAGGATTTCGTAATAACTCCCACATTCCCTGAATCTCAAGGGACTCGTGTATCAGGCCACAGTGCCGGCCGTTTTGGTGTATGGCTGTGAAAGCAGCGGAACTGAGACGTCTTCAGTTGTTCGACACTCACTGCCTCAGAAACACAGCTCGTGTGGGTTGAAAGGATCTTACCTCGGAAGGATCTCAATAATTTACTGGTGTTACTGCTTTTATTATTAGTTGACATCCGGATAAATGGGGCAGAAAACTGACGGTCAAATAATCCAGCGACGTTTGCTTGTAGTGTGGAAAGGGATTGTGGAAGGGCATCGATAAATAAGGAACTGTGCAGGCAAATGATACTTCCCGTGTTCGCAATCCGAGGGCTAGGTTTAGTTGAGACACATCACCTTGAGTCTTTGATTCAAATACCGTGTCCCAATGGCAGTCGGAGGAGAAAGACATGTATTAAAGCCTTGCTTCAAGTCTTTGACCCAGGAGACTGAACCGCAAAACAGCGGGCATTGGGGTGGGTTTGTTTGAGAAACCCTGTCCTAGGCCGGTGACACACTAGTCTGACCTGTTTGGCTGCGGGGGTTAGCTTATTCCGAGGACTCAGGGAATGATGGATAAATGTATGTCCTTGGTGCTACCACGCACAGCAGATGCGTTAGAGGACACATCAGACCAGTAACAGGATTTATTTTCTACCGTACTGAGTAATACGTCCGGCGGTCACATTCATCCTTCGGGTGATCGGAGCTTGCTGGTTTTAGGGTCAACCTTTTCTAACCCGTCCTTACTCGCAGAAAGGCAGAATCACTGCTTTTGTAAATATGGACTCGCTGGTTAGCTGGGAAAAACACCTTGCAGAGAGAATACGATTTCAGTCCCAGACTTTCTAGTAATAAGACCGTTCGTAGTAACGGGTCTTGCTCTCCATAGTCTTAGTGTTACCCCCATTTGGACAGTACCTCCTAATAACGAGATTTAATTGACCAGTGTTTATATCCATGGTACGGTTACCTAATTCGGCCTCTCGTGAATCTTCGGACTAGGTTGTACACGTTCAGTCGGTATTGCTTTAGCGGTAGCTAGGCCTCCGATTTCATATCACGTCTCAGTATGGTGTCTGGGTCAGGGTTGCGGCTTGTCTGGATTTGATCTCTTGCAACCAACAATCACGCCAACCTACTGTAATCTCTAGCTGTTTTGTTATCGGCTCGTGCTACTAATGAAGCATTTGAATTGGCACATTCCTTCACTGAGACACCTTTCTGTTCTACCTATATATATATACTTGCCCCCCGCAGTGTAAGTGAACCGATAGATGACAGTCCTGAATTCATCCGGTAACCAGGTTCCGGCAGACAGGTTAATCCATAGACTTGGCCATGAACTTGACACATGATGCGTGATTTAAACTGGTTCCGTATGTGTGTGTGGGTCGGTTGCGACCGCATCAGTCACCGTGAATTTCACATGGATACCGTTATGGAGAGAAAGGGTCTAAACTATAAATACGAATTTACAGCAACTTCCGTTTGCACCATGTTCGTTGCAAGGCTGCAACTGTTCGTCTATGTAACCTTTTATGTACGGCGTGCTACCCGAAAATTTTGTAGATTACTTGTAATGCACTACTCATAAGGTTGCTGAAAATCCGTCGACAGCCCACGACCGGTTTCGTCCTTCTTGGGGCTCATCAGATAGGCACAGTCCCAAAGTTTCCTTCAACCCTGTGTTCTACATGAAACCAGATTGCACTCATTTTCAAACTAATTTGGTTTTTCGAGAGACTAACCTGGAACCCAGCTGAATCTCGGGTTTGTGATATTTTCAGGCAACTGAATGTGCTGCACTTTTTGAGGCAGCTGCACTTTTGAGGCAGACTTTATGGCCTTGAGTTCAAAACACACTAACTCGTGGTGAATTTCTATTCCTGAAACTGTGTTTTGTCATAGTTTGATTTGGTATGTCTTACTTCCCTAGCCCCAGCTCGCAGGCCGTGAGTTCACTTCCCAGCACGGTCAGTGAACTCTAGCAATCGCGGTGGTCAATTCCATTGCTTTATACTCGCTTGAATAATCGCACTAGGACAGCAGGATGACTGTTCAGACGAGACTAACGTGAAAATAAATCAGAATTAAACAGGAATCGATTCTCATTAAGGAAACTATTCACAAGGTTGCTGAAAACTCTTCGACAGCCCACCACCGGTTTCGCCCTTCTTGGAGCTCATCAGGTGGGCGCAGTCCCCGAGTTTCCGTCAACCTTATGTTCTACTTGAACCCAAATTGCACTGTTTTCGAGAAACACACTAATTTGCAAATCAGTTTGGTTGTCACGAGAGACTAAACTGAATATCTCGTTTGTGGTGTTCCACAACTAAATGTGCTGCACACAGGCCACCTCATGCTTTAGTTGGCACGCAGTATATTTTCATAAAGGAATCGATTCCCCTCTTACAACTCGCCATCTTCGGACATAATGCCAATCGCAAGCACACTTGTATACGCTTGAGCTAAGGATTTTGTGTAACGCTCTACAACGGCTGTGATTGATAAATGAAGTACGTTTGCACCGACAATTTTTCATGAGTTGAGTTCACTCGTGGCCAGTGCACCCATTGAATGAGGTAAAACGTTCTCGAGGTTTGTACGGTTCAATCACTCAAAAGCCTCTAAAGGGACAGGACAGAAAGCATCGAAATTACACGAGGGTCTCTCATACCTTAACCCGGAGCAATTTCAGCTTTCCCGTGCAAATGGTAAATATGGACAACGATACCTTCTGTTCTTCTTCAGTGCCTCTGGAATAGAATCTTATTTAGAGGAAATGATTGTGGCATATCATAGCATTCAGTTCGGCGCCGATAGTTCACTGATGATACAAAACGTAACGCTGGTTCGCAGCCTATACAAAAGACAACTTTAGACAGATGTGTTCCATGTGGTAGCCCGAGATCTACAATGGAAGAAGCGAGCTTCCGAATATCTAGGTGGGACTTAGGCGCTTCATAATGACTGAAGAATGAGACATTCTCTCTACTGACACTGTCGTTCCATGATTATGCGATAAAACAGGTCACGTAGGTTTCCAGTCGAGGAGTGAGTAACACTCAGGTGCAATAGTTGTCCGGTGTATAATACTGCTTGTGAGGATGGTATATTCGGCCCATGCTGTCTGTACTCTGTGAGTGGAACTTTCCACGTAAAGTATGAGCTGCGGGAAGGTGTACTGCGCTCACAAGTATTATCAAATTATTGGATGTTCATAGTCAAACTGCTCTCGTGTGAACAGTCGTCCTCCTGTCCTGGAGTAATTATTCCGGTGAGTCCACACCAAAGGGAAGCACTGGACTCGAGTTTTGCTCTTATTGGAGCTCATCCAATGACAGTGCCTTGATTTGAATACCGGTCATCTGACATGCGAGGTGAGTGTGCAACCACTACTCCACCAACGCACGTTGGACGCGACGCATCTGAATTATCACGTCTGAACAGGCCAACGCGTTCACACTTGAGCGATGTGATCCGTGTGCCCAACTCATCGAACGACGACCCAGCAACTGTCCTGGTTATGACGATCGATTGATCCGCCAGTCAAGACTTCCCAGTCAGGTAGCGTGACATAAGCTTGAAACCCACTGGACAACTTTTTGGTTGCAGTTTTCTTGGGGTTTTGCGGGATAGGCATTTTGTTCATAGTCACTTTGGATAACAATTTGGAATTAAAGTAATTAAGGTCTTGGGCTTGGTAAGACCCTCTCCTGGTACAGACACCTCTGCCCGACAAAGACCATTCTACCGTACACCGATCGTGTTTGTTCTGGAGGATCATGGTGTGTAAATTACCATTCATACATACGAATAACTTAAGCTTACCCCACGCTTTCCTGATATATACCTCTTAACTGGTTTCTTCTTGTTATCTTAGCCTCACGGCAACCGTTACGACGTCTAGGGGTGTGTGTCTAGGATGGGTCATCCCAGCACTCTTATTCACTATCCATCAATGGCACAGCAGTATGTCCGGAGCGGTGATAGGTCCACCACTTCTGAGCTGATTCATGGCTGGGAGACGGCTGACTAGGCGCAAGGTGATACCGATCCTATTCTCTCGCCAAGGCAACAGCACCCTAGGACCTCCCAGCAGCAGTGGCATCAAGCTGCTGGATATTTCGCTCCTGCGACCACAACCATGACATATCTGGTTGAATAAGCTTAGGGAGACGGAATTCGACAGATGGTCATGAC